ATTTATTGTGTTTTGTTTTTTTATTATTTTATTTTATTTTAATTTACTTTATTTTTTTTATTTCAATTTTTTAAATTTATTTTATTTTACTTAATTTAATTTAATTTGATTTTATTTTATTTTAGTTTATGTTATTTTACTTTTTTGTTATTATATTTATTTTTTAAATTTTTTTATTTTATTTCTTTTTATTTTAAAATGGTTTTTATTCAATTTCATTTAAATTTTCGTCGTTTTATTTTATTTATATATTTTTTGTTTTATATTATATTTTCCCATACCTTTTTGTTTTATTCTTATTTCGAGCTATATAATTTTATCTTTTCTATAAGAAATATTTTTTTTTAAATTTATCACTGCACGAGCAACCATTGTCTCAGAAGTTCAGCAAACTTTGAATCCTTTTTTTTGAATAATTTTGCCCTCGAGTAGTTTGTGCAAAAAAATTTACTCCCTCTCTTTGAATTCATTTTCTACAAATATACACACATACACGTATTGCCGCTGCATTGAACGGCATAGTGCTAAGAACGCCGCTGGTAGAAAAGTTCTAAAATTTACAACACCCGCCACCAGTAATGGTTTGTTGAAAGAAAAGAACCTACGAACGAGTGAAAATTGGCACAGACCATCATGGTAGGCGAGCAATTGTGCTTCTATACGTGTGTATGTACACAGAAGCGTATGAAGATATAGTCATTCGAGTTTAGTTTACAAGAGGTGAATGTAATAAATATTTATACAAATAGTGTTTATGTATGTATGTATGAATATAAGCTTATTTCTATGCTGTGTAAGTAGCACAAAGGTAACCAATATATTTATGCTACATGGGACATGCCACATGTAAGCACACATAGCGGAAATGTGGACATATATGTACGTATGTATATAAAACAGTGTGGTTTTAAAAAGACGTTCTAGCACTTAAGCATTTATATATGCGTCTAGTAGCAGCTAAGTGCGTGATACATGCTATACGCTCCTCAAGTAGAATCAAGCACATACCAATAAATATTTGTGTATGTGTGTATGTTCGCTTATACACAGACCTCCTTGTACCTCTTTTTAGTGCTTGCGCAATTTACGCTGATTCAATGCGCATTAATAAAACGAATCACGTAATTGTTGTTGGCAATATCAACTTGATGTTGGCGGTTCTATAAGTAATTTTACTTGGCTGTTGGCCAATGGCAGTTTGTTCGAATTCGCCGTGCAATTTTTCGATTTAATGGGGAGCTGAGAACTCTTGAGCGGTGAAATTATTTTCCCTTTGGAGTAATATGTAAAATTTGTTTTTGTTGTTCTTGTGTACATTGATTAAACATCATTTTAAAAATAGCACTTTTAACTATATATATATATAAATATAAATAATATGTTTCATACATAATTTATGCGCCGTACTTGAATCGAGTTCGTCGCTTCATTCTTTTGTAATTGGCTGGTGGTGGTTTATAAAATAATACAAATACAAAGAAAATCAAACAAATTTTCAGGTAAAACAAGCAAACAATCAAATTAAAATAAAATGAGATGATATAAAATTAAATATAACAAAACGAAACATCTCAAAGCAAAACTTAATAAAATAAAATAAAATAAAATAAAATAAAATAAAATAAAATAAAATAAAATAAAATAAAATAAAAAAATAAAAAAAAATAAAAAAATTAAATTAAAAAAAATAAAAAAACAATAAATAAAACAAATTTAAACAAAATAAAATAAAAAATGAAATAAAATAAACTAAAATAACATAAAATAAAATGAACTGAAATAGAATTAAGTAAAATTAAATGAAATAAAATGAATTACCAATTTGAATTTTTTTTGTTTTGTTAAAGAGAAGATACTAATAATTTAGAAAAATTAATTGCTAAAATATATACAATTAAATGTAGAATGGCAGTAAATTGAGAAAAAAATTTAAAACAAAAGCAAAATACATCATTTTAATATACAATAGATCGCGTTTGAATACAAGAAAAACTTTTAAGAACTCGCAAATAAAATGTGAGCGCCAACGAAGAAATATGGAAGAGGAAATAAACAGCAAAAAAAAAAAGGTTGTTCATAAGTGTTCTCAAAGCTAACTAACTGCCATTAGAATAGCAATAACAATCGCCAGACGTCACACTAAGTTAAGCATGAACATTTTTTTGTGCTGTGTTTCGCTGGAAAACATGACCACCTGAAACCCTTTAGAGCTTCATCAGCTGGTAATGAGAAGTAACAACATTCGAATGTATGTAGCAAAATGTATGTGTACAAATGTGTACAATATACATAGAATATATACTTTTACATATAGACCAGCATGCTGAGCAGTAAATAGTTTCACAGACGTCTCGCTGGTTGATCATTTACTATTATATAAATTAACGAGTATGCATTTATATATATATATATATATACATACCCGTATATGTATATTCATGCTGAAATCAAACATATGTATACACAAACATTCTGTGCTTATAGCACAACAGACCAAAAGCAACTATGCTCACCTTCTACGTTAGAGAGCCAACAACAATGCCTAGGTTTACTCGTAGATATATAATTGCATATATGTATAATTGCATATGTATACATATATATTGTATTTTTGTCGAATGTATGTGAGAGTTTATTTGTGTTCTTGCTTCTCCGGGAAGTGCTAAGTTAAAACTAATCGCATGCGGCTTAAGAGTCTCTTTGCAGAATTTTAATGTTTCGCAGAACATTTTTTGTGGTCACTGATAAATGCCTAAGGTTTTTCTAATTTCCTCTAAGAGTTCAGAATTTCTTTTGGTTTGATTATTCAAAGTTTGCGAATAAGGCACACTGGACCCCAAAGATGTTGACTGTATGTTAAATGAGAGTATGTCACTGTTGTATTTTTGAGGTTATATGCAAAATTTAACTTATTTATTGAGCCTGGGAAGTGGAGGAAACAGATAGAATTCATTTTACACTTTAGAAAATACTGGCATCTATGTATATCCTCGTCCCGGACACAGAACGGTGTGTCCTTTTTTGTGGCGTCATTCCATATTTAGTTCTTTTCCTTGAATGCTCTGCGCTCTGACTGCTCTCCGCTACTTTTAGTTCACGATGCTTGTTTGCCTCTTAGCCTGTTGCTAGCTAAGTGTTTTGGCCGCATTTTTTCCCGTAGTCTTGATGTCGGCTCACCGCTTAGAATCCTGTGCTACGCTGGTGACTAATTTTAAATCTGTCTTCTTGCGGAGTTTGATATTTTTAGACATTATTTTTGATATTTTCTGCCCGATTTCTGTAGCTCTTTTTACGAACTGTGGCTTGACAGAGGTCCCCGGCGCTCAACGTTAGGGAGCAGCTGTCAAGGTGCCTAACTAGCGGGGGCAATATAATTATTAATCGAATTAGTTTTATTTTATGTTTATTTCAACCTTATCGCAAAATTCATTATTTTAAAAACTATTAATAATTTAAATTAATTAATTAATATTTAAAATATTTCATTTATATTTGTTGTCAGTTTTGGTCTTGTTTTAATTTACAAAGGTTTTTTCCACCACTCTTTGACGTTAATTTTTTCATAATAATTAATTTTTGAGTATTTTTTATGTCTTTTGATATTTATAACCAAATTTAATTTAAATTCTCATATATGCTTTTATAGCCTTTTAAACATATTTAGTAATTAATGGGAATAATAAAAAATAAATAAAAAATACACACATGCAAATTGCAATTATTTACTGTTAGTTCGCTCGTGTCTCAAGTCTTTTGTTTACTTTTAAGCTAATAACATGTACCGTTACTTTTAATGCCATTGTCTATAACATGAGCCAGACATTCTTTGCGCAGTGTGGGTATTCTTTATAATTTCTACTCTTCTGCTACTTGAAGTATGTTTGTGTGTATGTATGCATATAGTAAAATTATAGTAATGAAAATAAATGCAAATTACACACATATGAGCGATGAAGATGAAAAGCAAACACTAGTCGAGGCAATAGTAATAGTTTATATATATATTATTCTACACTAACAAAGCTGCAGTTTGCATGTAATGAGGAAGTAGAAATGCAACCGTTATAGTGTAAATTTCTAGTTGCTTGAGAACTGCTTGAGAAGCCTTTGCTTGTAAGTGGCAATAATAAAAGCAACAAAATATTAAAAGTGCATAATAAATCATTGTTTACTTCTTACTCATAATGAAATAAAATAAAATAAAATAAAATAAAAAAAAATTAAATTAAAATAAAATAAAATAAAATAAAATAAAATAAAATAAAATAAAAAAATTAAATGGAGCAAAAAGAAAGAGTAATAAAAAGAAAACAAAACAACATAAAAAAATTAAGTTAAAATAAAATAAAATGAAGCAAAACAAAACTAAATAAAATAAAATACATAAATGAAACATAACTAAATAAAATAAAGCAAAATACAAAAATTCAATAATCATTTTTTACAATAAAAGATACTTGCAAACGATTTACAAGCAACCAAACTGCAAGATAGATTATTCAAATGCAGAGGGAAATGACCAAGCCATGGAGCTTACTGAACGAATTACAGGTAGAAAGAAATAAAGCACTGTCCGCCTTTCATTTGGCCAACAATTAAATAAAAATAAAAAAATGCCGAAAGCAATGTTTAGATATTAATCAAAAATTTAAACAGCGGTTGCAGCAGAGAAAAGGTGGTGAAGAGTAGCAAAACAAATGTCAAAAAATATTTTTATATGAAGATTTAAATGTGAAAATCTCATCATCAAGTTGAATTTATTGTTTTCGCTTATGTAAACATTTTTAATGCCTAAAGGAAGTAAAAGTTTCAAGAGATCTTTCAAAACAATTTTTGAAAATAAAAAACTACCGTAAGAGAAGTAAAGAAGATTCAAAACTCTCTTATGATATATATATATAATACATATATATCACTGTCTAATGTGTATAGAAAATAAAGCAACAATTTTTATTTTTTTTAAGTAATTTTTGAATTCTTTTCCCTCTTTATCATTCCAGGACGACGGCGGCATTGAATTCTTCAACACCATTGTCCTGCAACCACATCTTAAACTCATCACCGACGCTGGTCGTGGCTACCATGTTCGTTGCTCATACAAGAGTCGCGATGCGGCGACTAGTACGCCTAAGAAGAAGCATACACTGCGCCGCAAAGCGAATAGTGGCAAAGATGCGCAAAAGCCGCAAGCATATCGTAGCGCTGAAACGGCAGCTGTGGGGGTGGGTAATGATCGACGCGATTACGGACGTTCACTGGATAAATATCATGCCAATGGCGATGAACTCGATCAGGAAGATGTACTCGATGTTGATGAGGGTGACGATGCCGCCACCGATGATGAGCAGAGTCTCAACGAAATACCTATGCCCGGTTGCCATATGAAAATATACAATTCAGAGCATAAAATTGCTGATGATGTGAAAATTGGTGATCCGCTGACGATTGTCATCAGTATTGACAAACAGGAGCTGTATGGTCTACATGTGGCCGATTGTATTGTACGTGATGGTTTGGGCTGGGGCGAGCAACGGCTGTTGGGCGATGATGGGTGAGTTAAAAATCTTTTTTTTAAGACAAAAATCAAAACAAGTGAAATGAAGCGAAAATAAAATAAAATTCTATAAAAAAAAAAAATAATAATAATAAATAATTAAAATATACAAAAGTGAAATGAAATTAAATAAAAAAATAGAATAAACATAAAATAAAATCAAGGAAAATGCATTAATATAAATAAATAAAAGAATAAAAAAATGTAATAAAATTAAATACAATAAAAAATAAAATAATATGAGCTTAAATACAATACAATACAATAAAATGAAATAAAATAAAAAATTAAAATAAAATAAAATAAAACATAAATTAAACTAAATTAATAAAAATAAAATAAAAGAAAACGAAATGAAATAAAACAACATAAGATAAAATAAATTAATAAAATAAAAAATATACAAAATTATGATAAATAAATTAATTTAAAAAAATAACCAAATAAGAAAAAAAATTAGATTAGATAAAATAAGATTAAATTAAAATAAAACAAAATCAAATAAAATGAAACAAAAAAAAAATGGAAAAATGAATGTAAAAATTTTAAATAATTAAAATAAAAAGAAATAAAATAAGTTAAAATAAAATAAAAAAATATAAAACTAAATTAAAAAAAAGTAAGATTAATAAAAAGTTAAAAAATTGAAATGAAATAAAAACAAGCAAATGTAAATAAAATAGAAAAAAAATGAAATAAATTAAAGTGAAATAACCAAAAAAAAAATAAAATGAGATAAAGAAAAATATAAAATTAAATTAAAAAGAATAAGATTAAATTATGAAATTAAATTAAATTGAAACAAACAAATGTAAATGTAAATAAAAAAAAAAAATATAAAAATAGAATAAAAATCCAAAATAAATTAAAACTAAATAGAAGACAACAAAATGAAATCAACTAAAACTGAAAAAGTAAGTAAATAAAAAAAAAAAGTAAAAAAATAAAAATAAAAAAATAAAATAAAATAAATAAAATAAAAAAATTGAACTATATTTAAACAAAATAATTTCCAGTTAAATAAAATTTAATCTATTTAAAAATTATAAGCAAGTTTTTCCCGACTTTAAATTTTTTATCTCCTTTCACAGCTGCCCAATGGACAATGAAATTATGGGCCAATTCAACTACAGCAGCGATCATTTGGCGGCCAATGTTACCTTCCCTGCACATAAATTCCCCTACACCACATCCGTTTACTATCAGTGCAATGTGCATTTGTGCGCCCTACAAGATCCCGAGTGCCAATTGGTGGGTGCTACCATATCATTTCAATAACATCATTTTTTTATTTGCAAAACCAATTGATTTGGTGTGGCGATGATACTTATATGCTTTAGCTTTTCACTTGGTTTTTGCTGCTGTTGTTGTTGTTGTTGCTGTTCATTTTAACATTTTACTTGTTTGCGCTATTTTTAGCCTCCTGCGTGCAGCGGCAAACGACCGAAACGACAAACTAACAACGATAACAAAGACGAAGACGGCCAACCGGCCACCATCGAAGTCTACTCCGGTCTGTATGTCAATGAGAATGTGGATGTGTCGGAGAGTGATGATGATACAGTGCTTAAGGAGCGGGTAAATATATAAATATTTATAGAATGTTGTGTTTTTTTGTTAATTTTTTTATTGTTTTACTCCTTTTAAAATTTGTTTTTTTTTTCGCTTGTAGACACTCGACGATGCGTTGTGCGTATCGCAGCGCACCTTTGCCATTGCCATAGCAGTCGCCGGTCTCATATTGATGTTGGCCGTCGTTGCTGCCGTACTCTGCATTATGGCCCGAAGGAGCACCAAGAGTGTATCGAATTCGGGCAGCTCCATTTACAGTGGTCCCTACACGAATACAGCGTTTTCGCATAGCAGTTAAATGCAGCAAGCACACACAGAAATACATGAACGCGCGCTTTTGAGAAGAAATTTTTTTTTATTAAAAACAAAATAAATTACACGATTTTTTTATATTTTTTTTATAAATTTAAATTTAAAAGATTTTTTTTTTTAATTTTTTTTGATTTAGCGTTTTATTTTGAATTTGGTTGAAACATATACACACATGAACACTAAAAGTGTTTTAAAACAAAACGAAAATTTTAATTTAAGCGAAGTTAAAGATTTCTTTGTACACTGCCGCTGCAAAAATCGAGCGCAGTTTGGAGTAGTCATTGTGTTTAGTTGTTAAGGTCACAAATAATGAAGAAAATAATGAAGTAGTGCTTTTTTTTTCTTATGTAAATGTGTTATGGGCAGAGCAAAGGGGTGGAATTCGGTTTAAAAAAAAGAAGAAAAGGAAATGTTGAGAAAAATCGTAAACTCAGCTCACTCCTTACGCCTTTGCTCTGCACCAACTCGAGCTGCCCATAAAAAATATGCAATTAATTAATTAATTAATGTATTAATTATAATGAATTAATTATTGTATTAACTGTAAGTCTATGGTAAGCCACGACACACACTTCCTTTAGTGAAAGAGAAAGTCCTTACTTATTAAACAATAAATATTATGTACCATATACACTCACGCACACATAAGCACACTAACATACAGTCAGTATCAAGTAGATAGCGTAGATATTACTGGGCAATAAAAGAGGTAAAAACGAATTTTAAAAGATAAATTAAAACAAAATTATTTGAATAGAAATATAAAAGTAAACTAATATTAATAGCATTTGCCCTTTGATATCGCAAAGGTTCAACACCTGAAAGTATGCAAAGCATGCTGGCAGGCCCCTTTGTTCAGCTGATATACTAGTTAAACTTGAGAGAATTTAATTTTATTTAATTTTTTATTTTATTTGGGTGGTGGTCCAATTTGCTATATGTATTTAATTTTAATGCTTGGTTGGCGTGAAATACTACAACAACAAAAATGTGTAATTGTCAAAAGAATTTAAGCGCATTTTTGTTGTATTTTGTACAACGAACGCGCATAACCTGCTCAGGTGATACTATTAACTATTATATCTAATGCTAATTTAAACAAGAAAAATATGGAAATTAAATTATTAACCTATTTTCCACTATATCAAAATGTATTGGAGAACCAAAGTTTTCATTTGAATGAAATAATTCTATAATTTTTAGTTAAAAAAGGAAATAATTTTTTTTTTTTAATTTGCAAGCAAATTTTAATATCATAATAAAAAAAGATAATTAAAAGAAAGAAAATTTAAAAACTTTGAAAACTATAACAAAAAAGCAAGGTAATGCTAAATACACTACGTACCATCTTGTCATTACAACATAAATCTTAACATTTTAACTATATATGAATGTATGTATTTACTTTATAATTTTTTTTTATATACTTTAACTAAACTGTCATTATCAAATTTAAACCAAACTAATTTATTTGTTAAAGCGAAATGTGTGGAATGAGCGGAGGAAGATTTAGCAGTAATTGCAATCCTAAAAGTGTATGTTAAAATGGCATAAAATGTAAAGTGTGTCGTTATGGCGTGAAAATAATATTAAAAAAAATGTACTTATAAAACATATGAAAGTAATAAAGGCCCTTAAAATAAACCGTCCGAGAAAATTATTTACATACATATATATGAATTTGCATCTTTTTTAGTATTGAAAAAATGGCGTAAGTAAGTATATTTAACTTAATTGTATTACAAAATGTATTTTTTTTTTTTGCTTAGAATATAACCTCAAATTAGTTAACAGCCCTTGACTTTAACTGCAATTTAAAACATTTTTCAAAAGTTTAATTGTGCATAAAATAGTTGACAATTGAGTGATGACTACTTGACTGATAACTACTTGAGTGATTACTACACTGCACAATTCTTTGATGGATTGCGTGACATACACTGCTCCACATGCACTGCCTTAAATACATATGTATATATTATTCACGCACAATCGGCGCCATTGGTATCCTCTATTTGGCAGTATACACCGAAATGTCTTTCCTAAAAGTGCTAGCGCCCATATTGCTCATTACGTACGGTAATATTTCGCGCAGCAGCGCTGCCTGCACAAGCGACTCACATATAAATAAATTACAATTCAGCCTCGTACGCAACTGTCAACGGTCAGCTATGCCAGCTATAGCTTATAAAAATACGCTCACCTTAAAGGATTGTATGCATGAAGCGAAGTTGGCACGCGGATTAGCTTTGAATTTTGGCGCTTATACTCGTCATATGCAAATGAAGAAAGACATAGTTGAAACAAACACAAAACTGGAACAAAGTATGAATCAGAATTAATTTTAATATTGTTCTTTGATAAAAAATATTTATTAATTACCTTTACCAAAAAAGTCACACGTCCAAATACTAATAACAGCAACGAAAACCGTCAAAGTGTTTGGCAAAAACCGCAGCTGCATTTCAATTGTCTCATACTCGCCTGTCCGGAGAACATCACCATGCGTAGTGTAGTGAATGACAGTCGTTATGATTATTATAGTTTGTATGGCGAGCCAATTGGTGCGAAATATTTGAAATTTCACTTTAACACATTTTCTGATACAATATTTCTTTATATCACAGCAACTGAAAACTATGCCTGCATACCACAAGTGGGTTTATTTCAATTCCAAGCCACAAAGACGAATTTTCTTAATGCCACACAGCTGTGTGACAATGCGACAGCACCCGGTGGCGTGGCCATGTTAGCACACGTTGCATCTGCACAGCGCACAGATGCTTTTGCGGAGCTGTTGCGCGAAACTAATGAGCAAGCGCGTCAAATGTATGGCCAGCAGCATAGTTTAGCTTATGTGGGTCTGCAGTTCAATCGGTCGTATAGTAGTCAAACTATTGAATATTTGAATATGGAAAAAGAGCCGCTGCACTGCTTTCAGTTTGTTGCTTGGGCGCCAGGACATCCGCGTACCAGGTAAGTGTGGAGGAAATTTAATTTATACGAAACTTAATGCATTTAGTATTCACTTTTCAGTGCAAACTTTGCAAATATAAGCTGCATAGCGATAACCATCGAACGCACTTGGTTAACAGTGGATTGCGAGCGCGAGCTTCCGTCTATCTGCGAGATATACACATCACGTAGTGTTTTGAATGAAACTTCAATAACAGCAGGCACATGTTCTCCCGGTAGTTATTCTTAGTGTGCACTTAATAAACTTCTAAAACTCGCTAAAAAACTATTCAAAATTCACACATCGGCATTTCCTGCCGGAAGTAACTTCCTTATTCTATTTATATTTCTAATTGAGCTAGTCACCACCAGACGTCGCCCACTATGCTTATGGAATTGCTTAACTTTCAAAAGCTGGCAACGCGTAGCCGCACAGCTGTTCTGTTTTGCGTCATTGCCATTCATTTCTTTTTCTTTTTGCATTGCACCGCGTGTATTTGCTACGCAAGGCAATCGCAATTAAATTTAATTTTTATTGTGAAAAGAACAACATTTTCACTCCAAAATGAGTTTGTACAATTTTAAAAAGATTATGGTGGTTCCGCCAGCAAAGGTATGTAAAATGTTAATTTTTAAATGCCCCAAAAACCAAAGCGAAACGGCTACATTGAGAGTGCCAAGTGGTGTACTTCGTACATAACCTCACACCGCAACGTTTTTGTTTTGTGTTTACAAACTATTGTGAAATATTTTAATTACTAATTTTAAACATTTGTTTACATGCAAAATGACAGGACTTCATCGATATTATGTTGTCCAAGACACAACGTAAAACACCAACAGTTGTGCACAAGGGTTACAAGATTTCACGCATTCGTGCTTTCTACACACGTAAAGTTAAGTATACACAACAGAACTTCCATGACCGTCTGTCCCAGATCATACAGGATTTCCCAAAACTAGATGATGTTCATCCCTTCTATGCTGATTTGATGAATGTGCTGTACGACAAAGATCATTACAAATTGGCATTGGGTCAACTTAACACTGCTAGACATCTAATTGACAAGTGAGTACGGTTGTTTTTGTATTTTTGTAACACGTGTATAAATTAGTTGATTAATATTTAAATTACAGTGTCGCTAAAGATTATGTGCGCTTATTGAAATATGGTGACTCGCTTTATCGTTGTAAGCAGCTCAAAAAGGCGGCGCTTGGTCGCATGGCCACTATTTTGAAGAAGCAAGCCTCTAATCTAACATATTTGGAACAAGTGCGTCAACATTTGTCCCGTTTGCCCACTATTGATCCATACTCGCGTACGATTATCATTTGCGGTTTCCCAAATGTTGGCAAATCATCGTTTATCAATAAAATTACACGCGCTGATGTGGAAGTTCAACCTTACGCATTCACCACCAAGTCACTTTATGTGGGACACACTGACTACAAGTATTTGCGTTGGCAGGTGAGTTCAAAAGCTTATATGCGGAAAATCTGAATTGTTTGAATGATTGCATTTCGTTTTCATATTCCAGGTGATTGACACACCCGGTATCTTAGATCACCCATTGGAGGAACGTAATGTTATTGAAATGCAGGCCATCACTGCTTTAGCTCATTTACGTTCTTGTGTACTCTATTTCATGGATATATCCGAGCAGTGCGGACATTCACTGGAAGAACAAATCAAACTGTTTGAGAGCATTAAACCACTCTTCACCAACAAACCGTTGATTTTGGCTATTAATAAAATCGATATACTCGGCCTTGAAGATTTATCTGAAGATCGTCGTGCTATAATTAGCAAATTGCAAGAAGATAAAAGTGTGCCTGTGATGTTCACATCGACTGTCAGTGAGGAGGGTGTTATGGAAGTGAAAACGGAAGCGTGTGAACGTTTACTCTCATTCCGCGTTGAACAGAAAATGCGTACAAAGAAGGTGGATAATATATTGAATCGTCTACATGTGGCAATGCCAGCCGCGCGTGATGAGAAACAACGTGCACCATGCATACCCGAGCAAGCGTTGGCGCGTCTAGAGAAGAATGCTGAAAGGGCCGAACGCAAACGTAAATTGGAGCGTGATATTGAAGAAGAGATGGGTGATGACTACACTTTGGATCTCCAAAAGAACTACACCGAAATACCCGAAGAGGAACGTTACGATGTCATACCCGAAATTTGGGATGGTCACAATATTGCCGATTATATCGATCCAGATATCTTCTCAAAATTGGAAGAACTCGAACGTGAGGAGGGTATGCGCGAAGAGGGTGGTGTTTACGCTAAACCTGATATGACTATGGACGAAACACTAAAGGAAATACGCGAAATGGCAAAGCAAATTCGTGGCAAGCGCTACCAGCTGCGCGACGAACGTCGTTTGGCAACGAAAAAGAACAAGCCCGCAATACCGCGTCACAAGCAGCCCAAGGTGCGTGATCGTTCGGTGGCTAAGTTGCGTGAGACTATGCAAAATCTGGGTGTCGATATGTCTGGCACTGAAAATGCCAATTTCACCAAATCGGTTGTGGATCTGCGACGCGGTGTTGTGGCCGTAGGCACGAAGGAGCTCAAGAAACCATTATTAGACAAGGAATCATCGGCAATAGTGAAGCACACGGGTAAACCGCTGAAACGTGCACCAGCCCGCGACACATTGGGCGTTAAGAATGTGGCGATGAAGAAGAAGGCACAACTGATGGCGAAACGCGATATTGCAAAGAAGGTGACACGACTGGGATTGAAGGGCGAAGCCGATCGTTTCATCGGTACCAAAATGCCCAAGCATTTGTACTCCGGCAAGCGTGGTACGGGTAAAACAGACAGACGTTAAGTGCCTAGCGAAGTTGCAGGAAGCGCTGTGTGTACTAACGTTGGGGCTGTTGTTGGGTGGGCAAAATATAACCATAAGCTTTTATTTTTCAATTGTAACAAACTCAAGAAATGTAACGACTTTTACATTTTTACTGTTTTGAAATAGTTTATGTATTTAATTTAATTAATAAATATGTAAATTTGAATTGCGTTTCACAACAAATGTGGCATTTTTGCTTTTTTATGCTGTTTTTAGAACGGCGAAGATTTGATAAGAAGTGCTCAGAACCTAAAAATAAAAATATAAACGAAATTTCGCAAAATTTCAGAGCTGATAAGATTTGTGAATTGTTTATTTACCTGCTTTAGTGTAATTAGCGAAACGTCTGCTATGCCAGCGACATTCAAAGCTATGGGCCGATAAGTGCGTATCAACATAATCAATACGAGACGTTTGTATGCGGGCGTACCATCGGTCCAATCGTGAGCATAAACGACATTGAACAAGTTGGCGCTCTGGGTTTAGGCGAAAAAAAAGGAGAAGAGAACTGTAAATCGCTATTTTTTTTTTGGTTTCTGGGAAGCTTCACACTCACACTATCCATTAGTTTGTCACCATAATAGCAAGTGATCACAACCTGTTTCATTTCGTAGCCAAGTAATAGTAAAACCTTCAGAGCGAATATGAACGAGACATCTTCCAAGAGTTGGTAGGCGCTAAAGCAGAGTATAAACGATGAAGAGGCCAAACTGAAGACGATCGAAGGAGCAAAGATGCTATTCACATCTTGAGCGAGCCTAAAGATTGTACAAAGAAAGACTTTGACAACTGTACCTTGCTTATGTGAGGTTAGGATTTTAGGTTAGACACGTAGGAAAGTACAATAAAATCAATACCATTTACTGCTCACTCACGTCAAAATCCGTTGATGATACTCAATAATCGCTTTTAAATCATTCATACTCCCCTGCTCAGCTGGCTGCAGTTCGAGTATGCGTTGCGCCAACAAATCCAGATGCAACATGAGCTGCGAAACCGAACTGAAGAGGCACAAATCGGCGCTTAGTATAATCGTGCCGAGGCTAAAGCTTGTATAACTCTCAAATATCAAATAAACCACATACTCCAATAGCGACTCTTCCAACGGCACCGGATACCAGATTATTGTCGGCATGCGATAAGAGTATGCACCGTTAGACCATAAATCATAGAACGACTGCACAATAGGCGATACTAAGTAAACAATTAAAATGTATTTGAAAAAATTGTAAAGCAAAGTTTCAACGCGTTTGTAAATAAGCAAATAACGGTCTAGCTTGTAGTGGCGCTCCACCGCCTCACTAGGGTATATGGCCTGCAATTGCGTATAGCTCTTCAGCAGCAAATGACGATTCAAGATTAAAAATAGTATTTTGCCGGCACCGACGGTGGTGTAGTTGAGTAGACCAACAGCGGCTGACAGCTCGACGAATGTACGTCCTGGCGTTACTAAGAATGCTATCTGATGCACGAAGAGCAACAGTGTAGTAAGTACTGTTAGGAAACGTGCGAACTTAATGCTTAACGTTTCCGGCGGTTGCAGGCAAATGCCAATGACTTTGAAATATTTAACGGGTCCCGCAGTGAAGCGCAGGAAATTTGTATTTCGTTTTATGGCATTCATTGCGGCGGAGATTGCGCTCTGCTTAAAATATACTTGGAGGTGGAAAAAATACTTTGAGAAGAAAATTTAAAAAATTCTTCCTTATATAAGCGGGAAAGTGCACATTCTCCATGCAAAAACATGCTAACCTAAAATTATCTCCTAATATTGTCCATTAAGTGCGCACATTTTTTATCCCACGCAATTTTTCTATTTCTCCATTGAAATTATAACCGCAACAAGACCTTGGTGCTACTTTCGCACTCTATCACATTGCGGAACGTTTTTAAAAAAGCAAAAGATCAAAGGAGACGAGGTCGGTTGGTTAGTTGGCTGAAATGGCAGGTAGGCATTTGTGTGTTTGATTTAGATAATAAAATTTATTGGGATGGTGACAGAGGCATCGTAGAAGATCTGACGGCCGCGAGCTCACAATGCGTAGAGTGTTTCAGCTTTTCGCCGATTTAACTCTATTTAGTTTTTGAATATGATAACTCTAGGGAAAATGCCCTCTCAATATACCCACAAGAATATTAAGTACTAATTTCCTTATGCTAAGTAAAAGGTGCCAACAAGCTGCACTGCTACACTCCTATTGTATCACTAGGGGGAAGAACTTTGCTGTTCTTTTCGCGAACTGAAGTTGTTGTTGTTGTAACCGCAAAATATTACCCAAATTTGTTTTGGGAAATATTGCGGATTGAAGTAGTCATTCTGACCCCTTGGTCATGGTCGATTGAAGATCCTGCAGCCCTTCTTTGCGCCAAGTAAGCATAGCCTTTGCCTGACACTGACTGTCAACACATATACCCTACATTTCCTGCACTTGTTGTCCCCAATCAGACACCATAGGGCAATATCCTGTTAATAGTCCTATCAACAGCCTGGAGCCCTGTATCTTTACAGATAGCACAAACTCTGTGAGTTTAGTATAATACGTTTCACATATAGTTTTAGTGGTTCTGAAGCGCTTAGTTTGTTCCCAGATTCTATTCACCTGACGAATTAGTATTACTTTTTGTATTTGCTTTACTTTCCTGAATGGAACTCAGGTTCCTTATGTCGTCCTTTTCCAAAAGGCTACCCTCCTTAGCCAGTTCGCTAGCAAACTCGTTACCTCGATAGCCTTCGTGGTTTGCCATGCAGTAAATGTGAAATCATCTGTTTTCGGACAGTAGTCCAATCGCTTCTTTCCATAGTGCGACCCTAGCTGACTTCGTGCTGTATGAAATTAAGACCTCTTTTCCTTTTGCTTTGAAAGCCAGCACATTACAGTAGCTCTCAGCTCTTCGCCTCTATTGAAGCTGAAAAGAGCTTCCTGAAACTCAAGCTTTGGATTACGTACGCACTACTGTGCCCATAGGTCCTGATTTTCAGCTGCCAAGAAGCATTTAGCCTCACGTCAGTTAGGAATACGCTGATGCTGATCATTGAATGTCTGAATACTCTTTCCAGCCCTTCCAGATATGTTACCTTGAGCAGAACTTTTCACCACATTAAAGCTCCGTTGAAAAGTATTGGCTTAGCAATCGCAACGAAGATTCCATGGGAGATAGCGACGGAGAGAACCCCAAGCCGAACATTCTGTTACATATATATGGTATACTTACTAGAGTAAAGCCTGTCCTGTTGAGTCTAACCAATCCAAAAGGAATTCGCATGAGACCAGGACGTAGCTTTCCCTAACGCATGTTTCGAAGAGTTCGCTTCAGAATTTCACAACGCTATTACCGGAAATATTCCATCCAAGTGCGCTGATTTAAAATCCGAGACCGTCTGGCTTGCTATGCCACCCACGCTGTCTTGCCAACACAAGTGGTTCTCGCCAACACCACACCTAGCTCTGACGTAGCCGATGGATGTGCGGCAAGAGCATCCGAAAATCGATAATTGATTTTAAGCAACCTTAGAAAAATCAAAATTCACCTCATTTATAGAGCCGACTGTGTATTTGGTTGGTTGAAATAGTCAGGTTTAGTACCCGACCGCCAGCAGTCACACTCAAAACATTTGAACAGGTTCAGCGTGCTTCCCCAATCGGTTGAAGGCTGGCCATTTGTAAAAGTAGGACTCCAGCATTACGTCATGCCCTGTGCATGTGCTGCCCACTGCCGATCCTATTATATCTGGCTTACAGGGAGGAAATCTCCTCTCCCTTTTCTTCTTCTCTTTTGCTAAGTAAAAGTAACTGTTGGAACTGTCTACTAAATACTAAAGGTCTCACAATTAGTGGTATGACAAATGTTCCGAGGAGTTCCAAGGCCTCAAGTTTCACTATTTAAAGAAGCATTTGAAAGCGCTGGGGGTCTGTCGGAGGTGATAGTAACGGCCTCGCCAGGGGCACTAGCGCTTGTTCTCGTCCTCACTCTCTTCTACATCAGTATGGCCTGGTGATATTCACTGTGCTGACCAGCGATCTTCTGTTAATTGTCTCTTTGCATGTTCTAAAGCATTTGGACTTTGTGTTGACTACCAGAAACTTTATATTCAAATGGTTGCCCATTTGGCAGCTTCAGTAATGCATTAATGCCCACAATCTCTGCTAGAAATACAGATTTTTAGTCATTAAATTTAAAGCTACCTTGATTATTGGCTTAGAAGAACCAAGCTCTGTGTCAGTCTCACATTTAAACATATTCATTATAGATATGAATATCTTCACTATTACAGTTGAGTTCGCTTTCCGTCCATTCTTCTCCACTAGGGGGAAGTGTATGCGGCCTCTACACGGTTTGTATTTACACAGGTATAGCTGTTGTTGTTGCGCGGGAACAATAATTAAGAAGTCAATGTCAAATAATTATATAAAAATTAAATGCGTGTTACTATACTACGGGGAAAGGCCATGAGCTTTAAGCTCCCATACTTTTTGAAAGTTATTTTTTGTTAGGATCTGCTTAATGTTAACACCATCAAAGGACTAAAGTATTTCCCTTCCAAAAAAAAGAAAGAATTCAGGTTACAAAAGTTTTAAAGCCTTTAAAGCTTTTACTTTCGGTTTCACGTTTCTCAAAGCTCAAGCACTGGTTGCTTGTTGGATTATAGCAACTCGTCTTGACAACCGGAATGTTTGATCAATCATTTTATACCAAATAAAGTTTACTTCAAGCATTTTTATAAAAGTTAACAAAAAAAGGCAAATTAATTATTAAGTAATAATTCATTTCCAGAATGTCCAAAGCCACAACAATCAAGGAAGCGATCAAACGTTGGGAAGAACGCGAACAGCAAAGCGCCGTGGAGTCCAAAGTAATTGAATTGCAATTTCAGTGGCCACCAATTGAGAAAATGGATAATACGCTCAGTACGTTGATTAATTGTGAGTGAGTATCCTTACACATATATCCTTATTCATACATATACATATTCATTGAAAGAAAAAAAAAAATTAATACATTTTCAATTCACAGACGTCTCAGTTTATCCACAAATATGATTGAGAAGATTTTCGGCTTGAATGGCATGAAGAATTTACGTGTGTTGTCTTTGTCGCGAAATTATATTAAAAATGTATCGGGTTTGGTGAGTTCATTAATTTACATATATACATACATATGTATATATATATACAATATATATATGTATATTATTGGAATGATCTCCATTTATTATCTCTCCACAGGAGGCTGTCGCCGACACACTGATTGAATTATGGCTTAGTTATAATTTAATTGAAAAGTTAAAGGGACTCTCAGCTTTGAAAGCTTTAAAAGTTTTATATATAAGTAATAATTTGATTAAAGATTGGAGCGAACTTACACGTCTGCAAGAATTGGAGACGCTCGAAGATTTGGTTGTGGTAGGTAATCCCATATCTGAAGGCATGGATGAGTCAACGTGGCGCGCTGAGTGTATAAAACGTTTACCCACTATACGGAAATTGGACGGCGAGCCGGTGGTACTGAACGAAGAGCCCACATTGTGAGCTGCAAATGATGCCTATTCTAAAAGCACCAGCCTGCGATTGTTCTTTTTTCCAATCTCTATTCGTAAGTTATTAGTAAGAAGTGACAAAAATTATATAAAAATATAGAAAAGTGAAAAAGAATATCTAAATATTTCTTAATTTTCTGCAGAGTGACCGCTTCAAAGTATTAATGGCAAACTGGTTTGAAGTTTTAGTTAGAGCATCCCTAGGGGACTATTTATATAAATATTTTTGTCAGAAAATCGCATACAAATCTTCTTTTTTATCTCTCAAAAGTTGGGAAAATGTCTTTTTTTTGGGAGAGCTTTCGCTCAAAAAAAGCTTTCATCATTATTTAATGGGTTTGCGCTATGAAATTAAAGCAAAAATCAGCTAAAAAGCCTTGCGCTAAAATCTTGGCGAGAATAAATGAAAGGAAAAGTTTTTGAATGAGCTTTCATTACTAAAAATTTTTTATTTTGTAAATAGTTCAAGGAATTTTCGATATACTCTGATGAAATTAAATAGGGTAAATGCTGAGAGTTATGACTATAAGTAAGTAGTTTTGGGCCACCATTGAACTAACCCTGACCGGTTCTTTCTGTTCAACAGCTTTTGCAGAAACTTTTTGCCTTTATGCGCATTTGTCCTGTTAAAGATGCTTTACAAAAAGACCATAATTGTAGGTAACCGCCCCTCCATAATTGGACGCGATAATCTCTCTTGACCTTTTTCAGTCCCTTGGTTAAAAATATTCTATTTAGAATGCATTTACTGAGTCTTTTTGATATAAAGTTAGCATCTGTAATGAAAAACTGCCTAACAGTTAGTGTAAAAGTTGAGAGCTCCATGTCCAAACTATTCCTCAATTGCGAAAGTTAAAGTGCTGTGCCCCTTCCTGCAAGCCCGTTCGCTCTCCGGTGTGTTACTGCGTAACATCACTCATTCTGGGTCCAGAGAGAACTAATTAGGCATCATGCACAGCCACCAGTTTTGCCTTAAAAACCCTACAGTGTTCCTTAAGTGAATGCTTTTTCTAATATAAAGCACCCTTAAATAGACTGCGCTACCCAGCTTTGATATCTAATCCTGAGCCGTCCATATAAAGTACGTCCTTATTGGGAGATGGAACCTTATTAAATTATTAGTATGACCGCGCCTCTTCGATCTTGGGTTTTCGCTGCCGTTAAAGACCAAGTATGCTCTGAACATCGACCACTAGATTACCTCTTCGGCTCCTTGGTGCCCCGCTCTTGAAACCTTTTGTGACTCGCTTCATCTTATCATAGAATTCTGGAGCATTACCCTTGTCGGCTTGCTTCTTAAGCTCTTCTTTTTAGCTCGCTTCGATTTCGTTCTTCTTTTGTCTGCCTGTGGTCGAACGCAATCTCGCGATTAGGCAGCCTGTTATCTCTCTACTGCTGTTCTATATTCCAGTTCTTTTTCTGGCACTGTAGAAAACAATTTTTTCCGAGTTACTTAGAGAGTTTGAGATGCCGTTCCACAGCATATCTTCCGTCAATCACAAAATGATTTATTGGTTGCGTAATTTTCGATCTGCCGACGGCCATACAGCTTGATTAATTTTTATGTGCGAAGTTGATCAGCCTCAGCTCATTGAATATTTCGTCATGGAGGCTGAATTTCCCGACAGTTGTGTCAAAATTGGCCTCCCTCTCTTCTAGCCTTTTAGTAGCCAAACTCAATTGGTATATTGCAGGGGCAGCGATCATAGGCGCGCTTTGAACGCTCATAGAAAACCTCTTTGGTCAAACCAACCTTCTCTGCCGTGGAGGCGTGGCCACAAATCAGCGATATGCTGAAAATTTGTCTTTGATACGCTTTGTAGCTAGACATTCATCCACCACAGTGAATGTCAGAGCTCGCCGATGGAGTCCCTTTTCAATTACAAATACAACACCAAATTTGCCCTTCTTATATGGTCGCTGGAGTATATTTCATCGTTCTGTCCATCGCACTTCTTGAACGCCAATCAGCTTTTAGTCTTAAGAGGACATCAACCAGCTGGGCTGCGGTATCATACTAATTAAGGGAGGGCATTTTCCAAGTGTATATCCTCAAATAGTGAGGACTAGATTGCAAGGTCCTAAGCCCTACGAAGGGGACTCGCCCCTAAACAAATTTTTGTTGACTACCCAGAGGTTGCCTGGTCTAAGACCGGAAGTAGTCAGCTGTTTAAACCATTAGCAAGTGAACTGTATCCGGCCACTCCCAGATGAATGGCACTCAAAAGCTTACCTCACTTGCGTAAACTTCTAAACATAGCGCACAATTTTTGACTTGTCAGCTTTAAAGCCGCATCGTTGAATGTCATGAGCTCCCCAAAGAAAATTAAATTCTCAGGAAGAGAGAGTTCAACTGAGAGCAAAATTTCGAAATGCTATAAAGCTTTTAAAAGTGCTTTCACTTTGTGATTTGGATACAAAAGAAAAAAGGGAAGAATATTTTCCAATATCAATGAGAATGAGCCACTCGAAATGTCATGAGAGTCAAGTGAGCACCATATTGAAATGGAATAAAGAGAGGGAATAGAAAATAAAAATTGCATTACAAAGTTGTTGGTATAAATTTTGGAGTTTGAGCAAGAAAATTGCATAAATGACATAGCTCGACCACAAAAGATTAAATTAGGAGAGGAGGGAAAAAAAGAAATATAAATAAAAACATCTGCGTGATTGCGGTCAATTTAGATGACATTAATAGTAGATTTAGAAATTGTTGTTGTTTTATCACTTATCTAAAGCACTTGTTACTATTTTAATTGCAAAAAAATCATAATGCTTTCATTAATGTTGACACGCATTCAATGCACTGGAGATTGCAAGAGGAAATGGAAAATTATCGCAAGTCAAAGCCTAAATCAGCACCACTAGAGGTTATGCAATGGGAAAAGGCCAACTGATGATGATGTTTTGAAGGCTTATGCCAGTAAATTACTGCAAAAGTGAAGAGTTACAAGTGGGCTTATTTGTAGCGAACTCAGCGGCTTTTACTGCGTTTCCCCTCGGAGTTACCAACTCGTGTACCTGAGTACATATCTACATACAGCTCACCTTACATTCACTCCAACGTTGTCATGCAAACCATAAATGACTTTTCAGCAGCTGTTAATCTCCCTCTCTCTCTATCTCTCGCTCTTTCTCTCTCTGTTTCTCTCGCTGTGTGTAAAGTTACTTTTGATGCATTTTCATGATGATGGAGGAGTTGATGCAGGGCTTATGTGTAGCTTGTACTTGTTGTTGTTGTATTGTTTTTGAAATACTTAATACTATTTTATCTTACTGAAAAGCCAACATCAACCAGCTGCTTTAATTATTTCTTTGTTTGCTTATTATGTAAGTTGTGGCAAAAGCTGATAAGTTCACTTTGTTGGTATGTTTGTATGTTTGTATGTTTGTATGTATACGAATATTTGTTTGCTTGTTTGTTAGTAATGAGTTAGTGATGTTATTGGCAACGTAATTTACCAGCGAATTTATCAAATAAACAATTATGATGTACAAAATCAACAACAACATAAATAATTAAATAACTTATTTTCCTTGTAAATATCGAAATACCCAGTAGGAAATTGAACAAATAATGATTTTATGCATTGCCTTGTATCCGAGCTCCACCGACAATTTGTGGCGTGGTCTTGATGGAGGAGTCAACAGTTTATTCCACCCCATCTCTGAGCAGCCGATGGTTTTATAGGAGATGCTTTCAGTTTCATGTCAGAAATACACTCGGCAGAGTTGACATTTCCTGCCGAGAGGCGATTGCAATTAGAAAATTTAACTTAATTTTTTATTTAAATTAATTTTCTATAACTCTTTTTTGATTGTTAGTATGACACCAGGATTTGAAACCGAGTCTACCGCATGGCAAAATGAGGACCGCAATTAGAAAAATTAATTTACCGTAAATTTGGTTGTTGGTTGGACCAGGATTCGAATTCTGGCCTTTCGAACGGCTGTATGGTTGCACATTATTCATTGAGATCTTGTAAAACCGAGTCAGACCTTTTATGGGCTGAGTAAAATGAAACCGGATCCAGAGTATACTGAGTTTATGAAAGGAATATTTATCTTGTCCACTGTGTTGCAATGCATAAATCTCCCTGTGGCAGGCTGGGCTTTCAGGAAGCTCCGAGCGCCAGCCTATGTCGAGACCTTTAGAGTTGACTTAATCATAAGGTTTAGCCGTATCTACACATTTTTAAGGCATTGCTTGGTGGTCAGCTGCCCTTACTCGGTGAGAGAAATTTATTTATTCAAAGTTTTTTCTTTCTTTTTGAGCTTCCCTCTCACGAACTCGAATTCCTAACCGATGACACTCCATTACTCGATTATGAAGAGGTTCGTGTAGCAATTGCTCGCTTGAAGGACAATATAGCTGCAGCAATCAATGGTTTACCTTTTGCGGTGTTGATATTGGTGAAGAGCTGACATTTTTCTTGCATCAGCTTCTGTGCAAGCATCGTAAACGTGCACTACCCCATAATCTGCGCCAGTTATCGGTGGATTAGTATCCCAATATCGCTTTGTTATCGAGCGTATCGCGGGAAAGATTGAAGTCCACGGTCAACAAGCTCGTTAGACCTTTTCAGACCTGATCTCAAACCTGGCAAGTCCTGAAGGCTAAACTTTGAAGTTTGGCCTTAGACTTAAAAGCCGAGCCAGTGCTGTGCAGAAGCTTGAACGATGACAACATGTGATAAGTCGGCACCAGAAGTTTTCGAGAGCAGAATTTTCGCTAACATCAAAGCCGATGGAATGATGAGCTGTACGAAATTTTCGTGTACATTGTCATAGTACATTAAGAGACAGCAGCATAGATGGCTAGATCATGTTTGTTCGTATGGAACAGAGCGATTTGTCTTCACTTGATATGTCCATTTGACGCTTATTGTACTTCCCACAAGTATTTGTTATTGAACAAATCTAGAGGTTGGATTTATTTTCTTGATATATTCCATCCAAACTTGACCGATTCCGTGAGGCTGGAACTAGGGATATTGCTTGAAAAAATAGCGCCTCAATCGCCTGAAAGACGGGTACTCATAAAAGTATTGCACTAGGACTTCATCTTTTTCGGAGCATGCTCTCTACAGTAGTTTAGTGGTATGATCTGACTTG